CCGTTCTCTCATTCCCCCACCTGGAGCTTTAGAAGAAGTTTTATTAATCATGAAGTAGTTAGCAGTAGCAGCAATAGAAAAAAGAAAACAAAACTTTTTTTAAAAAAAGAGTAAAAAAAATTGCTGAAGTACCGTACACCGTCATTTTGCCATCACTATTGCTGGTCATCGTTAAGGTCAACGATAATAGCAACAGCTTTTGCTAATTCTTAAGCTACTAGAAAACAAGAATCTAATTTATCTGTTCTTTTTTCTCCCCCCACCTCAGTATCCGCTATTGAGAACAGCAGACTTTTGCCATTTATCTGTAACGAACGGATAGAAATGAAGATAAAATAGAGACATGCAAAAAAAAGAAAGAAAAGTTATTTCCAATATACATATATATTTCTTCTTTTCTTATTTTGCAAAAATGTTCTAATCACTCAGTGTTGTTTTTCCAATCACTTCCCAATGACACATAAAAGTATATATAAATAAAAAATTAACAGAAAAAAAAACACTTTTTTTTTTGCCAGTTTATTAATAAATATTCTGGAAATTAAAAAGGGGAAAAAACCGATAATTTTTGAATGTTTCCGTTGTAAATTAACTATTTAATCTAGTGCCAGAAAAAAGTCTTTATTTGGAAAGCAAGTATTCTTTTTTTTCTTTATTTTTCACATCTTCTTACCTTTTTCCACCCTTCAATTTTATATCACTTTCCCCCGCCTTCAAATTGCCATAAAAAGATCAAACAAGAAAAATGTTTTGAGAAGAAAAAAAAAAGGAATAAAACGGTAAGTATCAACAAACAAACAACAGAAAAAAAAGACATATATACTGCAAGTAAACCCAACAAAAATAAAAAGGTTTAAATTTCGAACTAGTTGGCAGAAGGAAAGAAAAAAAAGGTAGCCGACAATTCCAACAGAGAACAGCATTGTAGCCGCAAGTATCTTCAACAACTTCGACGAGACCAGGACTAGGTAGATGCCTAGACTAAAAATTGTTGGCAAAATCGCATAAATTCTTCCTATCAATAATATATCACAAAACTATAGGCAGCACAAAAAAAAAGACCCAGTCAATATGCTAGACTTGAAGATTTTTTTTTACAGCAACAATAACCGAAACGTTGTTGTCAGTTGCCGTTGGTTCAGCACCGAGTATCAGCGAGATAGTTTACAACACAATAAGACGGAAACAGTTTACATCCGGGCCGATAATACGCTTAACATTAGCTGAAAATTTTATGTTTCTTATTGTATCTGGTTTTTTTTTTTCTGCCTCTATTTCTTTTATTTCTACTTTTGACGCTGACTTCTGATTCTGTAAATTGTGACATCAAGTAATATCAACAGACTTATAACATTGTCCTTCTAAATAAGCCATTTTTTCTCCATAGTTTATTTGAACATTTTTTGTGCTTTAAGATAATTTTTGTTTACCGGTCCTTTGTTCTGTGTTGCTTCACAGTCTTTCTTTGTTCTTTTAGACTAAAAATAGTTTCAACATTTTGGTTCTGAAGTAATGCTGCTGACAGAATTTGCCAAAAGTTATGTTGACTGTAAAATAAAAGCGCTTAAGCGAGTATTCATTTAAAAATATGTTAATTTTTGGCCAATAAACTGAAAATGGAAACAAGTGGACAAAAATTAAAATTTTTTGGACTAAAATAGATCAAAAACTGGAATCCTTTTTTGTAGTCCATACACCATTGTTGACCGTTTGAAAAATCATTAGAAAAAAGAGCGAGAAGAAAAAACAAGAGAAGCGATATTTAGAAGTAAAAAAAAAGAAAGTTAAACAGAATCAGTGGTAAGTAAAATCTTGTAATGTTTATTTTTGACCTCAGTTTATATTTTACCAGTTGTTTTGACATCGATTATACATACGAAAATTTGAAAAAAAAATTATATATATATATGCAACAACTACTTAGACGTACACTCATCAACTTTCACTTAATCATTTATTAAGAAAGACAAGAAGAAAAAAACTAAGAAAGTTTAAACTAATTGTCTGTTTATTTACTTTGATTCATTAATAATTTGTTTTTTTTCTTTGGAAAGTATTATGGCAAAGCAGAGAAAAAAAAAAAACCAAAGACATTTTAATGATCTCCAATAAATAAAACTTAAAAAATTAGACTCAACATTTATGACATCGCTCAACAGTAGTAATTTCTTTATATCCAAAGTTTGTGTTCAGGCAAAAACATTCTGTCGGAACGAATGCCCTTAGAAAAGTCACTAATTAAACATATTAATAAAATTTATCAGAAATATATTATTCTTTCTTCTTTTACCCCCCCCCCCCCCCCCCCCCCCCC